GCCAGAACCAGATCTCCCCCGCATGGCGCACAAGCGGTAAAAGCATACCCAGCGTTTGTGTTAGTCCCCAATTTTTAAGGAAGGTAAGAATTTCCTTTCAAGAAACATAATTCACACAACAAACTTACTCTGTCGTTTATAAAATTTCATTTAAGGTGTTATTTAATGAAAAGAGCAGGATTACTTCAGGAACTTACTTATCTGTTTGAGGAAACTGCTCAAGAAATCTCAATTTCAAAATTATTGGGCAATTTTTTTCATAGCACTGTACAAGACAAGAGAGGCTATGTAACAGGACCAACACACACAGTATTTTCTTGGACTGTTCTAGAACAGACAGCTAACACAGGACTATCTGCACAAATAGAGTACTCCTAAAGTCATTTGCTATTGTAGATGCATTTCTTTCATTTAAAAGTTATATATGCTAATTGACCTGGTATCTGTTGTAAACTTTCAGACTTTCAAGAACCTAAAAAGACTGTCGCCATCCCTGAAAACGAGTGTGGTCCACTTGCAGTCTGAAGCTCTGGTTAAGTTTACAGCTGTTTGTTTGATTCTATTTAAGAACCAGATAAACTTCCTTCAGGTGCATTCACAGAGCTTGTGTATATTGTGTGTTAAACTACTCTTGTTTATTAAATTTTGGAATTGATGCCATTTGAAATTGAATGGTTTGTATTAGGGTTACTTCTGCCACATAAACACATTAAATTATTCTTTTTGCATTCCTTATTATTTTAAAGCACCTCTGCAGCATTTGAGTTCTCCTAGACTGTTGAGTGTCTGGAAGAGTCAAAGCATAAGTGAAAGTGTGCCTATATATATGGTGCAGGGACTCAACCAAACATTTCAAAAAGCAATGTATAGAGACTGTTTCTGAATCTTGTTGGGGCAAAAATCATTAGTACCTGAACATGCAAGTTTCCCTTTTTAAAATTACTGTGTAACTCTTACAATCATGAGGCAGAGAAATAAACTTTTGAAAAAACCTGATGCAGCCTGATGAATTAACAAAAGATCAGCATTGTGAGACTTTGAATGTGGATGAATCTCCTCTTGGAGAAACAATGCCATCTGCTCATAGTACTCTAAAACTCGAGGGCAGGCTTAGAAACATACCATGACGATAAGGTGAGACTAACAAACCCATTTGTTAATATAGTACAGTCAACTCTGAGACACTCGCATAGACAATTATTCTTATTACTTGGAGGTATTACTAAACACTGTCTGGATAATGATTTTAGGCTTGCTTATCAGAAAGGAGAGCATAGTTAGAGAACTCCTAGCATTAAAAGTCAATTCCCTATTCACCAAAACTGCAGACTGACAATACAGCTTTCAGGCAGAGGGGAGAATTCAAGCACCTTTGCGGTATTACACACAGAGCCAGTGACTCTTGTACAAGTAGGCTTTTCCCTACATGTACACACTCGTGCAGTGTTATACATAAGGATGCCTGTGGTGGAACCTAAGTATGTTTAAATGTTGCTCCTTTTTAGCCCATGGTTCCAGTATAACCTTGGACTCAAACAGGAATGACGTGCAGTGTTTCAGTTCCATCTGATGAGCAATTGCTAACGTGCACAGTGGCACAGAATTGAGCTAAGAGGTAACTTAAAGGCAAAGCATAATCATGAATTCCACCCTCCATCCCCAGTCCTATGGCCAGCATCATCATTACATTCCCTCCCTTCCTCCTCTCTAAAAACGGCTGCAGAAGTGTTTATTTGTTTTTAAACTTTCACAATTCTTAAAATGCTTTCCAAAAAGGTTGAACTGTCAACCTGGATTTTTCTCCAGCAGTTGTCCCAGAATAGTTCCTAATAAAGTCGCCACTAGAATTTTTTTAACAGTTCTAGGTAATTGCAGCTGAAATATTACTCCAGGGCATGAATTTTTCCATTAATATTTAAGTCATTTTCATGCTACAAGAGAAGCCAAGATGCACCACAACTGTGCCAGCCAAATCATTACTGGCTCACTCTATAGCATCTCATTTCCCCCCACTTACCTTTCATACAGCGCAGTAGGTGGCCGCAGATGACAGAAACCCGAGTATTGAAATCATGCTTTAGCTGTTGAATGCAAGTATGTCACTCTACATATTTTCCACTTACACAAATTTTTTTTTTAAATACACATTCCGAGTTTACTTTAGGAGTAAAACCAATCCCATTAACTCTATAGGGGTGTAAGTAGTACACCTCCTTCTCATGGGAATCTTCAAAGTAACTGCAAAACCAAACAAGTTTCAGGAAGTTTTTTATTTAGTGGTGAAAACAAAAGTTTGTTCTTTAAAATAGATTGCTATTTCAAGACGTTATTAGCTCTTCAAATTAGATACAGTGCCATTTTTTCAGTTTAAGAAAACAATAATGCTGTAAGGAGGCTTTTTCTAACAAGATTATTTCCTCAATCTTAAATTTCACAGTTCGCTCTCAAAAGGACTGCTGAAAATTATTTAAATACGGTTGCTTCTTAGATGGAGCTTTTTCTGTGGTTGAATATAGCTCTCATATTATACAGTTCCAGTTCTGGTGAGAAATTAGAAAGTCATCCTCAGATACAACCCCTTTTTCATTACGCGCAGTACACTACCATTGAGTGAGCACTGTAAGTGCACAATGTCCTCTTAAAACTGCAACAAAAACCTCCTTCTTCCAGTTTGAAAGCTACAGCTCTTTACACCGCTTCTGTAGGTGAGGTTAAGTTGAAGTTAGGCCCAAGCAAGTTACTAGCCTGACAGGGAATGTAATGTAAACAAAAGCATTTCAAACTGCTGTTACAGACAGCACGTTTTCTTTCATAGGTAACTTGCATCCACATTCTACTAGGTCTGTGAACAGAAACACTTCAGAGCCAGCTCTATCTATAGGCATAATGCACTTTTCAAAATATATTCATGAGGCAAATAGTCACTTTACCTAACGTATGACATCAAAGACTGCTGAAAGGAGCCTTTGACACATGCATGGTCCTTACAAAACAATAAATAAATATCTCAAAACAAATGCTTGCTGAGCATCTGTTACTACAAATACACAACTTACAAGAGTAGCAAAAGCTGTTTCAAAGTTTATTCGACTACAACACTGACCTTATGCTGACAAGGCACCGAGTAGGAAACTTCCTTCTTCAGCAGAGTCCATATGTGAACCAGACAACCTCAAACTAAGGTTTTCTACCATGCTATTTGCTGTTGGAAACTTACTACAGACACTGTTTTGACCACTATAAGCTCAATTTTTAATCCACAGCTGGACAAGATTTAGGTTTGTTCCTGTCTTGAAACATAGTCACTTTGTCTTCTAAAGAAATTACACAGTAATTAGAAAGCAGCAGTGATGCATAGGCCTGCTTGTTAAACGCTTTTCCAGTATGGTTTAGTAAACCCAGAAAAATTAGTAAACGCTGCTTTGTTTGTAGAAGAGTAAGGCTTAACAAAACAGATGTTGAACCTATTAATCACTGGGCTGTTAGTCATACTACATGTGGTATATCGGAGGGGCAGGGGAATCCATCCTTAGTTAATACATATAACTGGGCACAAGATGTTAGCCTCACGCAACACTATCATCTCCACCAACAGAAAACAGATTAAGTCATTGCAAGAAGTAGAGAAATGCTAATTTAGAAATTAGCAAAAGCCATTAAGAGTTTAAAAACTTTACAAACTAAACTAACTTACAGCAAGTCAATTTCTGTGATCTTCTTACTAATGCTCTACACATACTTTCAGTATTGAGGCTCTGCCGAAACATTTCCATTATGAATGTTTTTTCCATACATCCTTCTGTAACCTACAAAACCAATTTGTTTCATAAACTGCATTGCCTTTAGAAGATACATAAAAAGGTATACAAACCAGCCAGTGGCTAGTCAAATTGAAGAAACAAGAATAGAAAAAAAAAACCCAACCCCCCTCAGATGTGGTTCTGTTTATACAGTATCTGCTACTGTTTCTAATACTGTCTCGTTAGTTCTGTTCTTCAGTTCCCAAACAATTCAAAACAGATTTTTTTTTCTTCTGTAAGTGCCCTCAAGAATGCGGTCAGCATGCAGAATTCCTGCCGGGTGTCGGCGAGGCAAGCTGTTATCACAGCCTGTCTAACCAAGCGTGCAGGATAAACTGCAGGTGCCCAGTGCTCCTCAAGATCGGGTATACGTTTGAAATCTCAAGCCAGAATTTTAAAGACATTCTCTTATGGGACTGTATAAAATGTGCATGCAGATACTAAATACAGAGGCACAGAAATACAAAGGAGAATATGTAATACAATGTAAACACTGAACTAGATGAAAGTTACTTCTGAACAGCTGTTGGTCATGAAAACATTTGCGTAATACAAGGTACTACTATGGAGGAGGCAAAGATAATACAAAAGTGATCCGATACCATGCAATTCATTTTTTTCCCCCCAAAGGAGCTCAGCACAATTATCGCATGATATGTTTGAGTTTACTTGTGTTCCTCTTTCCGTAATTCAGCCGTCTTCTGCTGTGAAGTCTGTTTAGCATTAAAAGCAGGATGTGCAGCGCCCAGAGCATCATCTCACATGTCTGTGACAAACGCAATACTGTAAGCAGGTGTGCGTCAAAGAATGAAGCAGTGGAATGTTTTAACGTGGTAATGAGTTCTACAGTGCATCCACATATGTTGTTACTGGAGCTGTTAAGACTCCCACAGTGCAGGTAAGGAAAGGAACTAACTGAAAATGCTTCATGGCAATTCCAGGTAAATCCTCAAATTATTTCAGGAAAAGGTAGTCTTTTTCAGACTGGTGGTTACGTGTCTTCTAGGAACTTTTTAGAACTTCTCTTCTTTCAAAAAACAAACAAATAAAAAAAATCATTCTCTTATCTTGAGATATAGAAGACATAGGAATAGTATATACATGTTTTTAGAATAAAGTCCTTCACATAAGGAGGGAAATTCTACGTCTTCACAGAAGGGAGGCAGTTCTAAGTCTATTTTGATCAACTTTATCGTAGCCTCAGTTCAGTCCCATACCTTGGAATTTGGCAGTCTCGGTGCAAACAAAGTAAGTCCTCAGTTCTCCCTTGCCTTTGACATTAATGAGTCCCCTACATTCACATGAATATCCCAACTCCTGTAGTATTTTACTTGTTTCTTCTGTGACCTTTGTGTGAAAAGAATTAGAAACTCTTGTGAAATTCTTCTGATTATTCACATTTTTAAAAAATCCATAACCAATTAAAATAATTTCTTGGACATTCCAAGGCTCTCATGTTTACCTGGATTTTCCCAAGTTCCCCCGTACTCTCCATTCGGCTAGCAACATTAACAGTGTTGCCCCAAATATCATACTGAGGTTTCCGGGCACCAATCACACCAGCAATCACAGGGCCATGATTTATCCCTGTATAAACAAAAGCAGGTGTCATTATTGAAGTAGAAAGTTATGTGACATCTAGCTTCATTATTAGCCATAAGTCATGTGCTTCAAGGAAAAAAACCTTAAAACTTAACCCTGCAACACATTTCTAGCAATCAGTATTACCACCATTCTATAAATATTAGTACTGAGTCCCAGGAGATGTGAAGTGACTCATTCATTCATTGTAAAATGGGAAGTCCAAGAAAGAGCCAGGGCAAAGTTCATGCCAAAGCAAAATTCTTCCTTTTCTCCTTTTAATATCTAGAAATAAACATTTGTATAATGACAATACTGTCTTTAGTCAACAGCTAATAACGGGGTACCTCCCATTTCATCCGCACCTATGATTTTCTTCAAACTCATCCAGCTGCAGTCTTCGTACTGCTCCCTCCAGTGATTAGAAAAGCCCATCCGTGAAGGAGCTTGGCATATGTAAAAAGCTAGACTAGACAACACTGCCTTCAGCTATTCAGCATTTTATAATAATCCAAACGCTGTGTTCCGTGTTAAGAAGGGCTCCACAGCACTCGGCAATTTACTTAAGTCATTCTACCTCATTTTTCATTTTTATGGAGCTGCAGAGTTCACATTCTTCACAAACCGAACTTACCAATTCGTAAGCGGAAATTGTTGAAGGAATGTCGGTTGATGCCATCCAGTTTACTCATCAAGGCAATTCCATATTCCACCATAATCCCAATGTGAGCATGCTGTCTTTCCTTATCCTACGCAATTCATAACACATATTAATGATCAAATTACAACATAGAAGGTTGTGTCAGGCTACTCTTCCAAACCAGTACTATTATTGAATAAAGAGAGAGAGTGTGTGTGTGTGTATATATATAGTATCAGAAATAGTGTGGCCAGCAGGAGTAGGGAAGTGATCGTGCCCCTGTACTCAGCACTGGTGAGGCTGCACCTCGAATACTGTGTTCAGTTTTGGGCCCCTTACTAGAAGACAGACATTGAGGTGCTGGAGCACATCCAAAGAAGGGTGACAAAGCTGATGAAGGGTCTGGAGAACAAGTCTTTTGAGGAGCGGCTGAGAGAACTGGGGCTGTTTAGCCTGGAGAAAAGGAGGCTGAGGGGAGACCTCATCGCTCTCTACAACCACCTGAAAGGAGGTTGTAGCGAGGTGGGTGTCGGTCTCTTCTCCCAAGTAACAAGCGATAGGACGAGAGGAAATGGCCTCAAGTTGCACCAGGGGAGGTTTAGGTTGGACATGAGGAAAAATGTCTTTACCGAAATGGTTGTCAAGCATTGGAACAGGCTGCCCAGGGAAGTGGTTGAGTCCCCATCCCTGTGGTGCTCAGAGACATGGTTTAGTGGTGGACTTGGCAGTGCTAGGTTAATGGTTGGACGTGATGATCTTAAAGGTCTTTTCCAACCTAGACAATTCTGTGATTCTATGATATCTAAGGCTGAGACCACTCATCCTTGTAACTGTGCAGAATTGCACAGTTCAACAAACATTCAAAATGGATTTAAAAAAACACATTAAATTAAATTGGAATGGCTAGAAGGTGACAAGCATATGAGATGATTAAAATTTGTAATGAATTTGTGTCTGTCCTTTAGGATTCCAGATTTAATTTTACATGTTTTGTACATATTACACATGTGCATCCTAATGTCATATACGAACCTGCTATAGTGAAAGTGAGTCTGAATACAGAAATTGGTTTTCATTCTTCTGGGTGACAAACAGTTTCAGATTCAGATCTAACGTGGCACTTGAGGATTCTCTTTTTGTGCCAGTTCTCAGGTATCACAAAAAGCTTACTGTCCAATTCTGAGATGGCCTTTTCTTTGGCAGCCATTCTTTGACTTCCCTATTATTAGAGCTATTCTGTTATGCATCTAGAAATGTTAAGCTACTGGAATCAAAGATTAAAGATGTGAAAAGTATGCTGCGGTTACAGACTTAATACCTGCTTCGGAGAAAAATGGAACTAGGGGATAAATAATGAATTCAACAGGAGACAATACACTTTTATCATCTTTTTCCACATTTCAGAAAGTCACTCTTGGTGATTTACTTTCTCTTTTATATCACATTACATTTTGTTACTTTGAAATGCACCTACGTACACACAGAATACCAAAGGCAGATTTCAGAGACAACGTACCTGGTTGTTCTCTTGGCCTGGTGTAACACTGAGACCAGCTGCTGCCATGTAAGTGCTTCCAATGGTTTTTATTTTTTCAACACCACTAAATTTAGGTTTTAACAAGAGCTGTTTGAAGGGAAGGAAAAGAGAAACTTGAGACTTTAATACCATATTTCAGTGTGTGATTTAACTAGAAATCTTATACTGACTACAATAAGCATTAAACATCTCTAGGAATACTATCAATCACACGGAGGTTAGATAAGAAAGTACTGAGGATTAGTTTCACAGTTTTGCTCTACCTGCTTATAGGAGAAATAAAAGCACTGAAGTACTGAAATAAAGTCCTGAAATTCAGGACTTTCAAACCATACTACTAATGCATTAGATGATGTAATTGAAAAATCCCATCAGATGGGAATATATCTTTCAAGACTGCAAGGCTGAACTCAGATTATTAGTTCAGCATAACAGCCTTTTTTCCCCTCTCTAATGCTCTCAGATCTAGTGAAACATTTTATTTTGCAGTAAGTATGTAATCCAGTCCATTTTTGCCAAAGCTTAATTACCTCATCAAAATCAGCAATGATTTCATTTAACAGCCGCAAGCATTCCAGGCCTTCTTTATTGACATCACATTCAGTATAAAACACCTTAAAATCTGGTACCGATGCAAACATGACACAGACACAGTCATAAGATTGATGGTACCAGTCCTACAGGAAAACAACATATTCACACATTGTCAGCAGTCACCTTCCACCACAGTTATTCAAAACAATGATTATTGTTTGTAACCAGTAATCAAATTACAGTTTTCCTATGAAGTCAACTACAGTACTTTACAGTGGGCATCATTAATGTTTCTGATAAAATAAGAAAAGTTGATTTGCCTAAGGAAAAGCTGAGATATCTATGTATCATAAAGATCCTGATCTATTCTGGACAGTACCAGTCTTATGACATTTACCATGGCTGTGAAATCTGCAATATTTATTCTGATGACATGCTGGCGGAATAAGATGGATGTCTTAAAAAAAAAAAATCATTATCGATGAACTTCTCACTGGGGTTGTTACCAAGGAGATACTATCTGTTCCTCAACTAACTTCTTTAAAAAGAAGGCCTATCTTCTCTGATAAAATACGGCCTTTGGAAAGCAGTAAATCCTTTTTAAATATTTGCCAAACTCAAACTGTGTCCTGAAGCTGAACTACTAATTCTGAAAACAGATTTCAGAGACTGACACTGAAAGTTCGCATTTTTTGAGGCCATCTGGATAGCAGATTCTTGGATTTACACAAAGGTCTTGGGATACAAACAAGAGGCAAAGAGTACAGAACCTTATAGTCTTCTGTGTGCTTGTTAGCATGACATTCTATGTCACAGAAGTCCAATTTACTGTCCTTCATATAGTAGAGATTAAACATACCTCATTTCGTTTTTCACCAATGAAATAGGCAGCAACGTGTGCTGGAAGTACATTTTCCAGCAAAAGCCTGTTAACATTCTCCATCGTTTCAAACTGTTCATGTTCTTTTTTAAACTTATTCTTCCACAGACAATCCAGTCGACAGTAATAGTCAATCTGCAAAGGGACCAAACATGATAAATTAAATCCATATAATATCTCGCTGAAAAATATTAGTCAATTTATTCAAAAAGTGTAGTAGCAATAAAGTTTCTTCAATGCCTTTTGAGCCTATATAGTTATGAAAAAATGCGCTTTGAGCATGAAGATCAGAAAAATATGAAGCCGTCAGTATGAATGAATGTCATTTGGGTACCATCAGGTGTACTTACCAAAAGACATTTTAATAATATGGTGATTATTTTTGTCTTGAACTACTGCCTTGATTTAGGATGAATATTGACATACAAATACAGATAGATCCAAATTGGAAGAATTTGGAAGTTCTGACTTCTGTAATGCAAACACTATTGAAAGACAAAAATGTTCCCACCCTTTCACAGTAAAAATTTTTGCATTAATCTATAACTAAGTACAAGTAAGTACATTATCTCCAACTAAGTACAAGAATATAAAATATTAAAATATATACTAATTTAGTGCAAAGTTTCAATTAACAATACTTTTTGCATTTTATTTAAAAATCAACTCGCTGCAAGGGAAAGAATTAACCCATTGTTTTTTAAATACGTACCTGTTTTGCAAGTAAAATTAGGGTTATGTAAAACAGAACCAGATATAAATTAGTCATTATCCTTGGCTCTTTGATGAAAAGTCTGAAAACAAGAAAGCAATACAGTCATCTGTGTCCTTTAAGAAAATCCACATGATTCAGGGTTGGGGGGGGGAAGGGGAGGGGAAGAAGAACACAGCAGAAGAGGGTGTCTTTGTTCAGACATATACCACCAATACCATTGCTCATTTGTGCCAGCGCCTGTCTGGTTATCGATCCTATCCTAATAAGGAGAAAGGATTATCATTCAGTTCAGTACATGAACTGTGTTTCACGTAATGACGAAATGGGTGCTGAAACCTTGTTAAGTAGCTATTGTAGTAAGATGTTCAAGTAAACATGGCTTTATCTTAATGGAGCCATATTAATTTCCATTGCACCGAGTTGCAGCTTTCTTCCCCACGCTGCCCCACAAAAACACAGCCAACAAAACCTTGAAGTAGGAAAATAAACTGTCTTATTTGTGGAAGGAAAGATGATAACAAATAAAAAGCTGAACTGCTAAAACAGAGACAGCCATTAAATAACACCTGTATATAGTTTCATACAAATCTGAGACGCCACTCATATTTCATAGTAAGATCAGTCTGTCTTACCACATCTATTAATTTTCACAAATGCAAACTAAATTCTCATTCTATGAATAGCCTGGGATTAAGAGGCTAAATTAAGAGCTCATTTAGGCATTTTTAAGCTGTGCTGACAGCTCACAGTTAGCCTCTGCAAAATAAATTTATCCTAATCTTCAGCTATGAGACTACTCTGAGAATCTGAGACTTACAAATGAACAGTAAAACCCTTCCACATATGATTTCTCTGAAGTATTTTTATAGTTTCTTCAATCAGATCAGGTAAATTGCTGTTACTTTTCAAAACATGCCATTAGTGAGGTAAGTAAATGAAGAGTTCATTTTCCTATTGACTAGCAAGGTCTTGCAACCACAGCTTGAGCATCAGACTTTTAGGAAGGCTTTTCTTCATAGTTTAACAGAAGATAAACTTTATCATGAGATTAATATTCTCCCTCCTAGTCTTTAATGTAATCTAAGCTTCCAGAGATCTCAGAAGCTTTATTACAGAATTTTTCAGAAAACACACTTTCTTAAAAAAAAAAAAAAAAGTGATATGGTCTAATATGATTTCCATGTCATTAACTTTACAGAAAGGTTTGTAATGTCTGACTTACATGATTTTGATACAAAAATCTAACACCTCCTTTAATGAAACGTTATAGTCAATTATAAGAAACTTTACACTGCACCTGGTACTGTTGCCATAGAAGCTCCAGTTTCTATGCTGAAGGGTATTAAAAATGATGAGGTATACAGTCACAGCAATGGACAGGAGGAGAACTTTGAGTTCGAAGCTCATTTGAAGAAATACTGAGCAAGCAATGAACCCCAATATGCAGCAGTAAGCATAATACTGTAAAAGAAGATTTTAAAGAGCAGTTGCATTATTCAGACTTTATGCATGAGACTTTCAAACCATAGCAAATGCTCTAAGTTCATGATCATTTAATTTAAATAGAAGAAATTACAATCACTTGCTAAATACACTTAAAGCTTTATTTTTAATTGCACTAAAAGGCTGAACTTAATACTTTTTTCGTTTACTTTTTTGTTAAAGACAAAAATATTTAAACAAAAAGCAGCACACCAACATAAGCAGTGTCAGACAAAAGCTGAAGAGTGTTGAGAATCCGTCTTCTGAAGACTATTAATTTAAACAATTATTTATTTAGAGTTCAAGACTAACCTAAAGTAGGTTCATAGTCCAGTGAACAGGCTCTGAAGCAGGAAATCCAGCATTCTGGTCCTATTTTTGACATTGCTCCCCCTTTGCAACCTTAAGCAGATACCCCATTCCTATCTCCCCCACCTGTAACATCTGAAGACCGTGACCTGTTCTCCAACCTTAGACACAGCTCCTTCATAAGACTTTGATGCTAATAAGCATTGTTAAGCTATGGCCATTATCCAATGGAATTATTGAAAAACCTCCCAGAGGAATCACAGTTCAGGCGCAGTGTCCGAGGTCAGCACGCAGCTGGGAGCATTAAAACTGTCAGGTGGTGCAAAGTGCGTTGCGCAGACAGGACTGCTCCCCCTCCTGCCACAGCCACAGGTATAAGATGCTGAGCTAGCATACTTTAGTCTACAAACAACTCCAAAATTACCTCAGCTTCTGCTCCTCAACAGTTTATTTCTCTTTATGTACAAAGCACAGTTTTTCACCCATAATAGCACAGACCTACCACAGATCTGGGAGATTCTTAGCTAAACAGTTAATGTTTCTGTTAAAGTGAATGAAACCAGAATAATATATGGAGCAACTCAGGATCAGAGCCCGCATAGTAATGTATTATACCAACTCTGTCATCCTAAAGGCATTGAGTCTAACCTCCAAAAGGTAATGAACGCTCACTGTTATAACCCTGAAGCCAAACCTCTGAAAAAGAAACCATTACGTAGAGAACAGTCTGTTGGCCATTTAAGCCCTTTCACTCTATCAAGATACTTCACTGGGACACTTGCAAGTACAGCTCTCATCTCTCAGACTTGAACATAATCATCCTCCTGTTCTACTACTTTTTCCTCAAAGTTTTAGATCTACTTTTAAGCCTGAACTTTCAAAAAATTGCAAAGCCATACTTTATTCAGCACAGCAACAGCAGCTGAAACATGTTGATTTCACAAAGAACTTTTCTGCTGTCAGATACCTAAAAAAGCTGTGTTTGTTGTCAGTAATATATACAATATTCAAAGATCTGGGTTTTAAAGTAACATGTATTCACTACTTACAGTTTCCTCAATGCAGGATTGAGTTGTGTTTCCAAAAGGCTGATTTACAGACATGCAAGAACAGAAAATTACCAGATGAGTACAATGTGTGTTATATACATGTAACTTCTCATTTGTCATAAGGACTTGAATGAAAGGGTCCTCACACAACCTGCTGTGCATTGTTCAAAAACATGTCCATCATTTAAAGGGGCGGCCAGGCGACAAAGGAGCCTCCCAAACATTTGGATGATCTCAAAATAGAATGCTACTTTGGAATTAAAGAGATAAAAGATGAAACCCTCAGAAATAATCCTTTTGTGTCATTAGTGAGTACTGAATCTATCCTTATAGAAATGCTAGAGAACACCTTTCAAAGGTGTTGAGTAACCAAAATAAGCCAAAACTTCAGCTTTATCCATGAGTACTCCAGACTTCTGAAAAATCCCTAAAAGATGCACAGCAAAGCCATAGCTAATGATAGAAAATATCCCTAGAACTGCCTTGTGGCACGAGTCAGTCTTTGTGTTCAAGGATTTAAAAATTCTATCTTTATAAAAAGATGAAAAGATACCAAAATGCTGCCATCCATCCATATTATACACACCATCCAAGACTTATTTCATTTTAATCTTAGAAATTAAGACGGTACTCTACTCACATAGGGGGTAGCACACAGGTCATTTGATCCAGTAAAGTTTGCAGGTTTGTTCCTTTCAGTAGTCTTGATTAATTGGGAAAAAAAACAAAACCACCATACAAATTTGTTAGCTTGTAGTCACTAATTTTAAGTTTTTTCTCCATATCGTATATAATGAGTCCTGATCTGGTTGCCCTTTCAGTGCTACTGCAATATAAATGTTGGAATACAACTATATGGGATATCATTGTATTGAACATATATGCACACACAAGGTGCAAGAAGGTTAAAATTGCCAAGTATTTACTTACTTATTTTTTAATTTGGGGTAAAGTTTCACATTACAACTATGCCAATCTAACAGCTAACTGGCACAAACATGCGGTTCTGCCTCACCCCTCAGTTTCACAGCTGCTGTTCCTGTTTTCTTTTAGGCTGTCTCTGGTGGTGTTCACATGACACCACTGTGAGTCAATTCAAGGACCTAAGCCAGCAGAAAAACAACCCTACAAAAGAAAATTAAGCATTTTCTGCAGTATGGCCTTCAGAATAAACGCCCCATGGAATCAGAAGAATGGCAGACCAAGCATATGGGATCGGAAGGACATCACTTTTAGTAGCTAGCTATCAGATAGGTTTAACCGTTAACGTGATATGTCACATAAAACTTGTTTAAAAAAAAACACAGCAGAGTGGTCTTGAGCATGGGGTTACTCCAAAGGGTTGTTTTTCAAATGTACGTACCCCAGGTGCAATACAATGCTTAAACTAAAGTTAAAAGACAGACGCCATTTGCATCTTAGTCTAGCAGTAACTACCCACAAGGTCTTTGGTTTTAAAAGAGAACTAAGCTATATTCTTCCCTCCCTCATTTGCATTATTACTAGCTAGTGCAAATACCACAGTAAACAGCTTAAAACTTCTACCCGCCACAGCCAAACATTTAAACCCACATTAAAAAAAAAAAAAGGAAGATCATCTTAGAGATGAGGGTTAGAGTCAATAGTAATTATAAATGCCATCTTGAAAGCAAGAAAAGGTGGTGCAAACAAGAACTCAAGTCTATCACATGTACTTTTAGGTCTACAAACTGGGAGTTTTTACTTTTAATGCTTTTACATGACATCGTGCATTATCCTTGTGTAAATCAACTCATGTTGCAAATCAGACATTATAAAAAGCAGCAAAAAGCTCAGTACTTGATGAAAAGAATACAGGAAGTTACAATAAGTTCACAGAATAAAGATAATGCGATTACTTACCAAATTAAAAATGGCTATAATCAGCAAGGCACCTATAGTGATGACTGCTAAAGGCAGCCTAAGTAAAGGCATTGTTTCCACCTTTTCCGAGATAGCACAAAGATGGCGCAGGAGAGGCCACTGTTCTGAGCAGCACTTCTGTAAACAAAATTAGTTTGTTTCAGTAACACGGATAACACTGATACATGGGAAGAAATATTTCTAAATATAAAATACTTTTTCTCTGCAGGAGATTGTCAAGAGTCTTCACTGGAATCCTAATTTAGAACTCTGAATCTAGTCATTCAGACTAAATGCCTAATGCCTTTCCACAACTGAAAACAGAGAGAATGCTTCCTTATTTCAAAGAGGCTGGGTGCTAAAATTTTCTGAATTTTTGCTTTAAAAATACAAAATTATGATCTGATTAAAAGTTCCAGAGAAACGTTACTCAAAATATAGTGACAACCTACGTGTATTTTTTAGTTATAGAGCTATAGTGTTATATTTGGAACTACATTTTCAGATGACTAAATCGAAACAAATCATAGACAGTCCTCTTTCTTTCATCCTTTTATCCTCCATTTGTTGCTATAGAGAAAAACATCTAGTGAAGCATATACTTTTAACGGTTGCAAGCATTATTCAAGGATGCTATACCAAAACACTCCCAGCGTAAAACTCAAGTCTGATGCAATTGCAGTCTTGGAATTTTCTTTTTCTTTTCTCCATATGTTCTCACATATGTAGAAATCATACATGCATACATGCACACACACCTCTCTCTCTCTACATAGACATATATATACACACACATATAAAAATGCATCCACTCATATATATATAAAACCACCATACATACATAAAATCCATACGTGGTATCTAACTGTACTTTTAAATTAATCATAAAACTTTATCCCATGTACAGGGTGCAATTTTTTTTTTCCTTTCCCTTTTACGCAACTTGAACCTGTCTCTGTAAGAGACTGTTTCTTTCTGTGTCAGTTTTCCTGGGAGACCACCATCACCACTCTGCAATAGGATGATAGTGGCATTCAGCAGAACTTCAGAATTCCCTCCCACCCTTGGTCTAGCACAACATAGATTTGATGAGTGTAAGGAACTCTCTGAAATCCCTTCCCTCTCCCACCCCTGCCTCCAGATAGTTCTTGGACTGGAGAAGGACTTTTTTTATTTTGTGTCGTTGAACTCTGTGTCACTATGGGCTGTCTCTATGTCACTATATATTTTTAAACAGTGATTGCATACATTTAATAATGCAAAGAAAAAGGAACTACAAATGCAAAGTATCTTAATTGATGTAATGGTGAATTTGGAATTCTAACAGCTATGAAATTGTTGCCAATAAATTATTCACATGTTTGCAATTTTCATGGGGCTTTATGAATGATTATGAAAACTAATCTTGCATTCAAACTTATTTTGATTTTAATATTGTTATTTATATATTAATATAGAAAATATCAGGATTTACAACGAAAATTACTATTAAGGACAAGCGTAAAACTAAATTTAAAAAACCCAACCCCACTCAGCAAGTGTTAATATCTTCCTCCTCCCTCCTACCCATCTATTCTGGCACCCAAATAATTCTGAATTACAGTGAGAATTTTCAGACATGAAAATTTGTTTCAGGCAGTGAAATTTTCTGGTAACCTGAGGTTCAAGGCTCCTGTAAACTCCTATTGAAATTAACAGCTTAATTCATCATCCTAAAAGATAGACCAAGTTGCTGAATTACATCCATCCACTTTTGAAAACAGGAAACTTTTTTTTTTTTAAATAAACTTACCATACATTTCTCAGCAAAGCACACAAACAAAATAAGTACAATGATGAGTGCAACAATGCCAAAGGAAATTCCTAGTTTTGCAGTTCTAAACAGAAGAGAAACCATGAAACAAAACAGTGTTAAATGAAAAAAAAATTTCAAAGCACAACTCAGACTAAAGTTTGCTAACAGTGTTTCTCTAAATTTAAATAGAATTTTTCTTCTAATAGCACTGGATGATCATAACATTGCACAGGTTATTGTTGCTCTGCTGCACAAATACTACTTTAAGATATTCTACTCCTCACTGACAGCCTGAACCACTACCCCGTGCATAAACCACATGGAAATTGCACTGCAACAGCCATGAAAAACAAATATGCCATAAACTTTAGAATTATCAAACATCTGCTTTCTCAGAGGTATGAGAAGCAGCTCTAAGTTCCCTCCTTGCATCTCTACAGACAAAAGGATCACTGAGCACATTTTAGCCGTGTGCCTACAGCCCAGATAAAATAGTATTTCTCAGTTAACTGATCATCTCCCTGTGCGTACTAAGCAAACACAATATTAAAGAAATATTTCTATTTTATTTTCATACCGATATCTAGGCTCTTCTGCCAACAACATGAATGCACTCCTTTATTAAGGGGTAAATTAGTCCTAAGAGGTGTACGTTTCTTAAATGTAAACCCTCAGGAACTCCAAAAGACTTTAAAAAGGTTTCATGCACATGAGTTTCACTTTAGCTATTGGTTAATTTGAATTATAAATTATTAAAATACTGACACTTACTTTGGCATTATAAACAGCTGTATCAGAAATATACAGAGGAACACAAAACTGGCACATGCGAAGTAACTCTTCAGTTTTAGAATAGGAATGGTGCGATACTGAAACACAGATTATAATAAATCTTAAGGATAATTCCAGGGGTTTTTAAAATTCTATTACATTTTTGTGATGACACATATATGCAAATTTATACTGGTCTATTAAAAATAGACATAGAACAAAAAGAGAACAAAAGAAAACTACCTAGTAAAATTCCCTTGAACATCTGTCAAGAAAAACAGCCTAGTCCAAAGGATAATTTCAAACCTAGAGGGAAATCCACTGAGTATGTAAACCAGCACTTTACAGATGCACGTAGTCAAAATCCTTATAAAAAAAAGGATATACACAGAAGTAAACCTAAAGTGTGTGTGTATATATATACGCACACACCAGTAACTACATACAGTATACCACAGCACAGTAAATTAAAGAACAGTTATGCAAACAGAAAAAGTACACTGTACCTAACAAATAACAGTATTATACTTGCAATGAAACAACCACAGAAAGCAAAGTATTTTCATTATGGATGCAGAAAAACTTTTTTTTTTTTTTTTTTTTTTTTTTTTTTTAAATTTCATTACTTTTGAGAGAAGTTCTTCATATAGTAAAGTTGCCAAACTCCTACTAACTCCCTTATGGCAAGAATTTAACCACAGATTAGAGACAATCTCCTTTAATCTACAGAATTGGCATTCTCAAAGAAGAATGACCAACTCAAACGAATCATGAGATCTGCTTTCCATTAGCTACCAAAAACCTCTTTGGATATGAAGTCACCTCCAGAATCCAGTTTCAGAATGAAAACAGACAGTTTCAAATATATTCTTATGCTGCTCTGAAGTGCAAATTAAAGACCAAAAAGGATTATTTTGCTCTTACCAACCTCTTTTTCAAGACCAGGTTCTGCAAAAATCAGTGAAAATCCACAGAAGTCATGTGATTTGCCACACCACGGACTGCATGCAGAGAGACACACATTACAAAATGTACACAACAGGCCAAGGATAGTATGCAAAAGCATCATTGTAGTTGAGACTCCACAGTATACAGGGTGGGAGTGCCGCTGTTCTACACACATTTGACACTTCTGCAAGGTCTTTATGTTTCACAGCATAACATATGAGCGGTTATGTTTTGACGTAGCTGACAGGCAGATCCAGAACACTCTCACAGACAGCAGCGTCTGCCAGTTCCATGCAGAATGTAATCCCAGATCTTGCCTGAGGTTTACAAATAGGAAAGTGTAATAGCAGATGTTAGAGATGGCTCACAGCCTCCAAAAACTTCCCCTAAATATCAGGTCCCTATTAGAAATAGCTGGGGTACAGTGATAACAGCCTTGCTATAATTTAGATGAAAGAAAGTTTTTCTTCTCAAATTCACTGTTTTACATTTGGTAGGAATTTGAATACTGTATTTTAAATTAAAAACAAACAAACAAACAACAAAATTGCCTGTGTTTGTCTGCTTTTAAATGCAAATATAGTGCCAGATGCACCATCTGCTACTGATAGACCATTTACCTTCACTGAACCAAACACTAAAGCAATTTTATTATTACCCTCAAACTGTTTTGATTTTATACACAGGTTTTGTTCAGGACTGCACCCCATTTCCTGACACTTATTACTTTAATAAACAGAACACAAACATTAACTTCCTATCCCATCCTGCACTGCAGTTCAGCTCATTACTTCGGACAGTCATAAGAAACAAAGCGATAATATACTACACCACATTGAACAGCTAGACTAACCATTGGCTTCTTGCTATAATAATGCAATAATATTCTCATTATATTAAAATTAAAACCAAAAAGGAACTAAAATAAGTAAAAACCAAGTGAACAAAGACCAAAAAAAGGCAAGACAAAAGTCCTGGTAACTTTTCTTTTTTGAGAAGTAAATGTTATATTTATACTTAAAATTGAGAATGCAGATTATTCTCAAAGAAAAGATGAAGAAAAAATAAAATACTGCATACTTAGTTGAACTGAGGCCCTCAATGGTTGACATCATTTCATCATAAATATCTTCCTCTATCCTTCCCTTCTGAGATGAATTTCTGAGAACAAAATGAAGTCCATGTCACAAATGCTATTCAGAAACAGTTAATGGCTACAGAGGACCATACTTTCTCAGTACACAAGTGGGGTAAGCTACCAGGGAAAAGTTAAACAAGAATGCTCCAAACTGATAAACATATACATCTATAAGCACTTTACTAAGCATTTCTCTAGTTACTTAAATCATGCATTTTTCAAGACCATATTTTGATAAGCTAAGAGAATGTTTCACAAGTGAAAAATCATCATCTTAGTTACCTCAGTGGTACAGGTACCATTGTAAGCATTTCTACATATAGTGCCAATTTTTTATTAGACTACAATGGCATACATTAATACTACTAACCAAAGACATAACTTGTTAAAATGTAATATATATTTACTTATAATATTATGTTAAACTGTATTTATTTTGTACTATAATATTTACAAACAAATCTAGCATCTATGAGTAAGAATGTATACAATATATGAGATGTTTTGATTTGTTTTTCAGTGCTCTTTAGGTCTCTTACTTCCCTACTCCCTTCCATCCTGCTACAGCCCATAAAGCAAAATGCAACCTGAATGACTGAGGGGCCAGTAAGACAAAGCAGGGGGGAAGCTCCTTTTAGAGTCTGCTAACAATAAAAAATGTTAATTGAGAAGTTTTTTAAAGGCCAAAGATTTAGCTTAACCTTTCTAATGCAGGAATACCATACACACAGTGATTAATCAACCAAAAGATCACATGCTTACAGTACACTGAACTGCAAGAGGAGTACAGGATCTTTTAAAAAAAAAAAAAGGAAGTACTTGACAAACCTATCAGAAGTTCTCTGGCGCCCAGTGGAACACAAAGGTATTTCCTAAATCAAATGAGGAGTTAAGAATAAGTTACACACTCAGTAAATGGCAAACAACTATCGAAAATAAACTTCAGGAAGCTGCCAAAAACACTATTATTCACAAATAAAAATCAAGAACCATCTTTTAAAAAAAAAAAAAGGAAGTACTTGACAAACCTATCAGAAGTTCTCTGGCGCCCAGTGGAACACAAAGGTATTTCCTAAATCAAATGAGGAGTTAAGAATAAGTTACACACTCAGTAAATGGCAAACAACTATCGAAAATAAACTTCAGGAAGCTGCCAAAAACACTATTATTCACAAATAAAAATCAAGAACCATTCTCAAATAGAAAAGCCTATCAAAATCAACCCTTTCCAGCAATGTTTTCTGCTTTAACAAGTGAGTGGTTTCTGACAAAAAAATTGTTAGAAGATAATTGAACAGATCTTCCCTCTTGTTTTTCTCCACACACTGAAATAACTAACATCAGCAGAGGCAAGTAGACTTTCAGCTTTCAGGAAGGGCAGCTGGAAGGAAAAATGAGTTTTCTTAAATTTTAAAATCTTAAAAATCTTAAGTATTCCTAATCTTAAAAATTCTTTACTGATAAAATCCTGTTGCAGGCAGAGCATGTGAAGGGATTTTTTATTTTCTATACATTTTAAGTAAATACTGAGTGCATCTGGAGTCTGGGATAAATTATCTTTTTTCCAAAACCACATGTAGCGAGCAGGACCCAAAGATGGAAAAATGTCAGGGAAAAAAAGATCGTTTCAAAGTTTTACTTTGAAGGTTTATTATGAGTATAGCATGCTAGAGATTGGCAGACTTTGAATACTGTTAAGTTCTGACAGAAATAGTTGTTTCAAAGATACCTTCTTAGTTCTGTGTATACATTTAACACCAAGAGTAATAGCAGAAATTCAGCCACAAAAACCATGTCAGATTTCAAGTTTCACACCATAGACACAAGGAGCAGTTTGCAATTGTAGGATGACAATCACTACTTCAAAACTCACCTTTCTTCGCCTTCCTTGTGAACTCGAAGAGTCACTGCTCACACTTTCTCTGTGGTTCAGGTGGGCAAAGGGCCTGGCTGCTCCCCAGGACTCTAAATAACGTGTCATCCGAACAGATGCTCGCATCTTCAGCCCATCATTAACTCTTGTTTTAGGGAGATGATTATTTGATACGCATTGTTTGGACTAACAGAAAAAACACACTCACTTAGAAAACAGAAAATGGTACAAATCACAAAGAAATGAAGCTCTGTGTACTTGAGTAGTTTAGGACTATACAATCTAGCTATTTAGTAGGACTTTAAACACATATCAGCAATGTGTCAGCCAACCTCAATTCCTTTATCTCATTTAATTAACATGAGCTGAAGCAAATCATGACATAATGAATTTGCTTCAGCTGCCTTTACAAGCCTTCGCTTGTAACACTGCAACATTCAAACTTCCTGGTTTATTTACAATGATGCAAGAGATCGCTGGATCTTATGAACAGATACAGTTTCCTTGCAGTCAGCACAACAGCAGGGGAAAAGATTCCCAATTCCTGAGCTAGGGCGTATCAAAACAGTGATTAGGAGAAGATCATACAGATTACAGAGTTGACATTAGATTATATCCCTACGTCACAGGTGAAGAGTCAGGCAGTATATACAGGGTATACAGCAATACCCTTGTGGGCCTACAAGGAAGGTGAAACTACAGAATAAACCGATACATCAATGACTGGTTATTCTCTAACATTTCACAGGTATCTTCAAGTGAGCAGGGACCATTTCAATGGACTTAGATCCTCATTCTGAGAATATGTGCTGTGTACGTGTAGGGGGGGTTGCAGTGTTGAGTACATAAAACATGCAACAAAGGTAAGATTGAGTTCTTGCTAGTTAAAAGTGGCTCTATACTGTTCCTTCCTGTAAAGATCCTGAAGGAAAGAAGTTTGTAATTTTCATTCTTTTTTCTTTTGAAATATTTTACTCATCAACCACAAGCCAATTCAAATTAGCAATACTCCAGGTGTTTGCAGTTACCAGGCTCTAAAGGGGCAACCAACAGTTGCTAACTCTACACCTTGAAAAGAAGGTGAATCTCACATCTAATATACTGAGGGAGAAGATGTCAGAAGCTATTTTACAGGGAATATTTTATCTGAAAGTGGCCACAGAGTACAGGTATTCTTTCATTACTTCATCCCACCCTTTGACCTGGATTTGTGAGAGAGACACTTCACGCAAATACATAGTCAAATATGTATTTTTTACTCTAAGTGGACCACATAAGAGGTTTCAGCATAACACTTACTACCTTCAAGCTAACAGACATCATAAAACAGTAGGACGTGCTTTCAGATCTGAAGTCCCAAATCCAAGCTACTCAGACGACTCATACCATGCTTTCTGTTCCTGAATTTGTCCGGTGTATGCACCACAGACACCTATGTACTTAAAAAATGTATGTATATATTTGAATAAATATGCATGTTTAACAACATACACATACCCTTGGATCAACCACTAAGTAGGTTTTGATATTCATGGATTCAAGGTAAGGATCCCTCAGGTGTCCATTCCCTTCTTCTACTTCATAAGCTTTGCCAAGGTGATTTAATGTTGCTTCAGTGATGTGTACACGGCTAAGAAGGGGAGAAAGAACAAGAGACCCAAACGCTTACAGAAAGGTCACATTAAGCATTTCATTTACATTTCAATGGCCACTGCTGACATTGCTGCTTTTCAGACATCTTGTGCTTTGGCAGCCAACTGCAAAATCCTGCCAGTACTTAAAACCGTATTTGCAAGCCTTTACTGCAGTTCTTCGTCGCACATCCTTCATAGCAAGTACGCTAAAAAAACACTTCCCAGAATGAGATAGTATCAGTATAAAATTAAATTGAAATAAGCAGAGACATATAAGAAACAAGAAGAAATGTGATCAAAGGAGATCTGATGACTGACAAGACAGACAGACTCACAGGTAGGTTGTTTCAGATGGCAAGGGCTGCACAGAGAGCTCACGAACAAAACACAAGCGAGGATTGTCTCATGCTAGAAATGCATGAGGAAGGGAGGAGATGGTTACAAAGTCTGGAAAAAAAAGCTGGAAAAGGTTTTTTGTCAACTAGGAGGATAATTCTGAAAGTCTGTCTTTTCTGACTGAAACAGAGGAGAGCATAACAGCAACAACAGCAACACGCTTCTATGGGGAGCAGCTAGTATTTTTCTGTACCCATTCACACTTTTCCTTAAACATTATTTAGTTCAGTATCCCAAATCACGTATTGCCATATAAATTATGGGTAATACCTTTCTATAGAATTTCTCAACAAGGGACTTGAGTGTGTTCATAAAATAGCATTTCTTTTCTTATATTCTACTTTCTTATTGTCCATCTTCCCACAGCTTTTCTCACTTTTCTTTGGCATGGAGGGGTTAAACACTGTGCTGTCAGTCCTACAATCCGTCAGCACAGAGCTGGGAGTAGAACATTTCCAGAATGGAAGCTGACAGTGTGCAGCACCCCTGCCTAACTACAGAGAGCAAGGGGATCACTGTCCCATCCGCCTCTACTTTCTTACGCTGCATGTAGGTTTGCCTGAAGATAATTTAGCCAAGACCTGGAGACCACTAGCTGTGGCTTCCCACAAGGAAGAACAAAAAATTCCTCCATGCTTTTGGAGCCAAAAGGTAAGAGTTTTAGAATATAGGAGGATGCATGTTTTTATTTGTTTACTGGTAATTGTCTCAAAAAACTGTTTTTTTAATTGTTACTTTGATTATGCAATTTTGCAATCGAGGTGAACCTTCAAATCTGAAATTTTAAAGCTTGCTCTAAAGCACCATTTTCTGCCATAGAGACTGAGGCATACTGGGTGATGTCTGTATTACCTGAGCCTTAAAACACAGTCATGTACTGCAGCAAGTTTTCTGTGGTTTTCCACTTATCTCAAAAGGCAGTACATTTGTTCACTATCCACCATTTTCCGTTTTATCAAGCTTCCTCTCCCCTCTTCCCCAAATCACACACTGCCGTAGTACATTTCAGACCTTACTGCAAACTTCTTTCCATTTAAATTACTATGCCGATGATTTCTCAGCAGTTACTAATGCTTACTGGATTCCAGGATCAGCACATAACCAAAAGCTGCTACCGCTAAAGCTGCCTCTCAAAGGCAAGCTGTAACATGCACTATTGCACTTACCATGCTAGTACAGAATACCTAACACAGTGCACTCAATTTCCTATGCTAACAGGCCTGAGAATAACATATTCTGATCTTTCAGGCATATACATATTAGAGAGAATTGGCCGTAAATGCATTTTTAATTTTGGTTTTATGCTAGCACTTTCTGCTTTACTAGTATATTACATTGTTATGAATGCAAATAATTTTTAAAATTGGAAAGAAGATGAACAAGGATACTCTGTCAATGGAAATAAAATATTTATAAAGCTAGAAGTTTTCCTGCATCCTTTCAAAAGTCTTTAAATTCCTTCTTTTACAGAAACCCAAAATATATATACTTCCTATTTTAAATAAAAACCTCAAACTGCTCCTAATGACAAAACTTCTGCTTCCAAAGGAGCAGGACTAGCTAACATTGGAATGGGGAATCCCAGACACATCGTTTTTCCGCAGAGCGGGAAACAAATATAGCATAACATTTGCATAATGAATAGAAACCCTTCCTCCCTGTGAGGCTCAGTCTTCCACAAGTGGAAGGTTTCCTCTGGCTAGTTTTGAAACACATGATAAGCGAGTACTAGACACGTATAGATATAGGAAGCATTAAGTGTAACGTTTCAGAATCAGCATGCCAACCTAAACCAGCTTTATTCTTTAACAGATTATCAAATATAAGCACAAAGAACGTAACGGAATAATCAAAGTCTTCAAGATTAGGCAATGGTCCTAAATGTGACTAAGAAAAGTATGTTTTCTTGCCATATTCAGAGTCATGTTGTTTGCTTTACCAACAAAAGAAACTTTACAACTCTGTATTCTTGTTTAATCATGCTTAGTCGACACACTAAAACACTCAACCTGGATGGTATTGCAACTGTTAACCAAGCTCCAATTAGTTTTCTTTCTGTTTCGGTCACCAATGCAAGAAAATAATTTGATATTCATATCCCCTTATCACTTTGCAGAAGTTAATTTTTAAGTTACCAGCATATACCTAAAAGCTGTCTGAGGCATAGAAATAATAAGAAACCCTATAAAGTCACTGGTTAGAATCACTTTCCAAGAGAAACTAATACTTTAATGCTTAAACATACACTCACAGGAATGCCATTCAATTATTAAGTACTAATTGGCACAGACTATCAAGAACCTACAAAATCATGGTCTCATTTGGGAATGGGGAAAAAAAAAATCCGCAAATATGGTGGGTCTTTGGTGCAGACTACCAAAAAGAAAGGGGGGGGGGGGGAGGTTCGGGGGCTAAATCTCA